AGAGCAGCCGTTACTGTAATCTGTGGATGAGGAAAGTGTGCTTTCTCTTTTCATGTTTTCATCAACATCAGCTTGTCGTTCTTGCTTTGATGGTGCACGTGTGAGACTTGTAAGAACACAGGGTGGGAAAGTGGATCTTTTTCCTTCCCATTGTCCTACCTTACATCTTTGTTGTTGTTCTGTCTTTTTTTAAATGTACAGTTGAGTGACATAAAGTACATCCACATTGTTGTGCAACCATCTTCCCAAATGGAAACTCTGCATCTTCTAAACATTAACTCCCTGTCCCCTCCCCCAGCCCCTGACAGTCACTGTTCTACATTCTATGAATTTGATCACTCTAGGGACCTTCTATAGGTAGAATCATACAATTTCTTACCTTTTGTGTTTAGCTTATGGCACTTAGCATAATGTCTTCAAGATTCATGTAGCACATGTCAGCATTTCCTTTTTTACAGCTGAATGATATTCCATTGTATGGATAGACAGTCTTTTGTTTATCCATCCATCTGTCCATAGACTGGGTTCTTTCCAGCTTTTGGCTATTCTGAGTAATGCTGCTATGAACAGGGGTGTACAGATTATCTGTCTAAGTCCCTGGTTTCAATTCTTTCAGGTATTATAGGCTATAGTAGAAATACTGTAGTTCTGTGTGGGGGTTTTTTGGTGGTTTTTTGTTTTGTTTTGTTTTGTTTTTTTGAGGAACTGCCTTATTTTCCACAGCAGCTTTACCATTCTTACTGCAGGTGTCTAGGTCTGCTGTTCTCAGTCATGTCAAGTACGGTCAGATACAGTCATGTTCAACACTGGAGGGGTTACTCAGCATTGCCCTCTTGAACATGAGCTCCTATGTGCCTCTCGGCGATTTTTAAACTGTTCTCTAGGAGACAAGCCTGGACCATCTTGTGGGAACAAGATAGAATGTGATCTGTCTAGAGACACCAGTACCTGAGTCTGTGATGGTTTTTGTTTGTTGCCGCTATTCTGGGTCTGTGTGTGTTGTAGAGACATCATTGCTGCTGGTGGAACTGTACAAGGGCAATGTCAAAAGCAAGCTGGTTTGCAAAGCAAAGAATAACATTGCCAGGCACCTGAGAGGTGGAGCAGTGCTTTCCGAGTCCGCACATGGGAAGAAGGAATGAGTAGAATCGCTTCTGGCCTTAGAGCTTCTTGGTGGAGGAGTTGGAGTTAAGCCTAGGTGCACACACTACTCTGTTTAGCATTTTTCCTCATAATTTTATATTTTAAAGGTATACAGAATACCCGTGTGTTTTCACCTTTATGCAGCCATAAGCAGTGACACATTCTTACTGAACCATTTGTGAAAGGAAATGATGTGTTTTGGCACTTGGTCTCTGAATTCTTGAGCATACGTCTCCTGAAGTACCTCTTCCCATCCAGTCACAGTATTAGTAGCGCCTAGTTTCTCACACTAGAAATTCCCCTACCTTTTGGGTTTTTATCCCATAACATCAGCCTTTTGAAAAATCTGGGCCCCTTGTTTTACGTGAGATGGAGCCTAATCTGGGCTTGTCAGCCCTTGTGGCTCTGCTTACTGAGCCTCTCTACTCTCCTTTTGCTAGGCCCGCTGTCAAATTATCCAAATGCCAGGATTAGCAGAAGCACTGGGAACAAAAGTAGAATGTTCTGTAATGGCTCGGGTGAACAGTTAGATTTGTAATTCCAAATGATCAGTCTGCCCTAAAGTAACTCGTCTAAAGGAATGAGCCTAATTCTTTTCTGTCTTTCCTTCCTAGGACTGTGAGGAGTGCATCCAGCTAGAACCGACCTTCAGTAAGTAACTTTCTGTGCTGCTTCTCTATCCCCTTACTGGCCAGAGGATTGAGGGGAGAGAGCGTGCTTGTGGCCTGTGTCTTTGGGGCCTGTAGTGTGTAGGAGCTAGCCTTCGATGTGAGGGCTGTCAGTGTTGAGATTAGGACGAGGTGTGTTTTGGATGACGCCTCACCTCTCCCTTCCGTCTGCAGTCAAGGGCTATACACGGAAAGCGGCCGCCTTGGAAGCGATGAAAGACTACACGAAAGCCATGGACGTCTACCAGAAGGCACTTGACCTGGACTCCAACTGTAAGGTGGGGCTGCTTCTGGCCTTTGGTGAGCTCTCCCTTGCCTCCCTTTCTTCTTCAGATTTTTTCAGTGTTCATTCACTGACTCTTCCATCCCACCTGTTTCTCTACGTGTCTGTCTCTCCCCCTCAATTACCTCTGCTGTCTTGGACCTGCTGCAGCAGTGAGCCAAGCCAGGTGGGGCTAACTCCCTCCCCGTCTGGCTTTACTGGAATGCAGGAGGCTGCAGATGGTTACCAGCGCTGCATGATGGCCCAGTACAACCGACACGACAGCCCCGAAGATGTGAAGCGGCGGGCCATGGCCGACCCCGAGGTGCAGCAGATAATGAGTGACCCGGCCATGCGGCTCATCCTGGAACAGATGCAGAAGGACCCCCAGGCGCTCAGCGAGTAAGTCGAGTTAGAAGGGTGGCATTGGAGGGAGAAGGTGAACAGGAGCAGTGAGAATGCACAATGCTGGCAGCAGTGTGATCGGTCTGGGTGAGATGTTCGTTGTGTAATTCTTACTTAGAAGGTTGGCAATTGGTGGTGAGCTGGAAGGGCTTTTGTGTGTTAGTCATGATGGCTTAAGTGCTTAGTTGAAAGACCAGTTTTGCTGGGAGAAAGGTCTCAGCTTAAAGCTGTGTCCATGGACTGCTGCACAGTGGGACTGATCCGCTTCTGACCATGGGCAGAGAAGGCCTGTGCGGTTCTGTGAGGCAGTCTTTGCCAGGACGCCTCCTTCACCACCACCTATTGGTGGCGTCCAGGGGGGTTTGCACTGGGGATTGCTCTGCAAGCAAGTTAAGAGTTTTTTTAGGTTAAATCTCATTTCACATAACTCTGCCTCTTCTTTGTCAGACACTTGAAGAATCCTGTAATAGCACAGAAGATCCAGAAGCTGATGGATGTGGGTCTGATCGCGATTCGGTGATGACTTGCTCATCATCCCCCTTCCCTTCACCCTCATGTGGAAAGAGGAGCTGGGACCGCGGCAAGCAGCACGAGCAGGAGGGAGAGAAGGGGAGAAAGCCAACAACTTATCTATATATTTATACAGACCTATGTGGACGATTCAGAGACTTGTACTTGCGTTACTTGTGCAGCCGCTGCCTCTGGGCCTTCCCAGCACACGCATGGTCTCTTCTGCTGCCCTGAGTTCCATGTCTCCCGCCCCTGTCCCCCAGTCGCTGTCTCAGCTGCTCCCCCATAGTTGGTTTTTTATTTGGGGCGGTGGGCATGTATGGGTAGGGGAGGGGGTGTTCTTCCCAACCTCAGGTCCCAACTGTCTTCACATTGTTAACTCCACGTCCTCTCCTCCAATAAAACAAGCCAGTCAGGCGTGGTTATACGTTGCTATGTCCCTGAGTAATTTTTTTGCCAAAAGATTTAAAGTTGTCCTGCAGAGGTCACAGTCTGGATAGGGAGAGGTGTAAACGCACTCCTGGGAACCAGAGCTTCCTTTACTTCCTAAGGAGTGGGGTGGGGCAGTGTGAGCTTGGCTGGATTCCACAGCCCCACAGAGGTGGCCACTAGGTGGTGCTGTCACTCAGTGAACACTGAAAGGGAGCCTGGAGGCTCCCGCCCTCCCCAGAGTGGCACCAGCTCTGGAGGTGATTCCCATGCTGTCAGTTCTCCACACTAATCTCAAAGCCAGAAAAAAACTAGTTAGATCCAGAGAACACTGGATCTCAGCAAACATCAAAAGCAATTTCTATTGCAAGAGATTCTCTGAACCTTTCTTTTGGAAAGATCGAATCTTCCTAATAACTATGTATAGTTAGTTTTAGTTCTTAACTCACCACTTTCAACTGAGCTTAAAATAGGTTTTAATGACACTTTCCTATGGTTGCAATAAACTTTCTAAAACCCTCTTGGACTGGAGTCTTCTCAGTTGTAGTAAAACTTCCTCATTTGGTCACTGAGTGCAGCCTTTGGGCTAGGAAGTCGCTGAGGCCAGCAGTTGGCTGTACTTCCTGCCACCTTGACTTTGCATAAGCCGGCCTTCCCCTGGGAACCCCCAGGCAGGCCTCCTCCCTGGCCTGGGTGGCCCAGTTAGAAAACCTGGCTTCCACAGGGATTCTGCTGCACCTTTGGTGCTACCATCTCTTCAGGCTTTGTTCCCTCCATCCCCAAACTGACTGTCTAGGAAGGCTGAATTTCTCCTGGGAACCAGTGGTGAATATAAGGCCTTTCTCTCCTGAAGCTTACATCTCGATGCAGGTGATGGACAGGAAGATGCTGGGCCACCAGGTGCCCTCCAAGTCACACTTGTGAGTCACATTTGCATAGGGACTTAACAGGTGTGAGCCTCGTATGCACTGGCCTGGGGAGGTGGAGGGACAGCGTGGCGGTGGCAAGTCTTGAAGAGACCTGAAGGCACAGAGCAGGCAGGTTGTGAAACATCAAGGGCCAATTTCTGTGCCACTGTTACCCTGGCAGCTCTAAGCTTGGTAAATTTGGAAATAGAGGCCTTTATTAGGGATAGAAAAGACTTAAGAAAGTTTTTCCCTCCGGGCCTTCAAGGATCTCTTTGTGGTAATAAAGGACATTCTGGGCTTGAGCTGACTTGGCCTGCTGAGTTCATCAATAACCCAGATCTGATCCTTTCAATTCCACTGCACTCCCTTTTGGCCCCCGATGATGCTTACCACCTGAAGACCCCCCCACCTCTGGACAGGTTTTAGATGGGAGATGGCTTCCTATAAGGGAACACGAATTGGTGGCTAGTTTGAATCGGGCTTCCCTCTAAAGGGGGGACACATTTTGTGGTCTTGGGTCCACAAGACCCACTTGCTCCTGTGCTCACTGGGAGCAGAGGCAGGGCCCCACTGGAACTCTCGCTGCCCCTGCACTGCCGCTACCCTGCCGCCCTGCCAGAAGTTGCTTCCTGCACCCAGCACCAGCCCGCCCTGGGGAGGGGCTGAGCCCGCCCTGCACGTGATAAGGCCTAAGGGCTGCCCTCTGAAGGAAGCTCCAAAGAGAAAGCAAAGGGGAAGGAAGCACGCAGCGGTCTGCAGGTGTGCAGGCCGAGGCCAGGAGTGGCTGACACCCCGATCCCCCACCTGCAGCCCCAACCCCTCGCAGGCCAGGTAAGCAGGCCGGCAGCTGGAGGCCCAAGGGCCCCTCTCTTCCTTGCCCTCCTGCAGGCCCTCTGCCCAGCATGCCTCTCTCCGTGCAGCAGCCTGGACTGTCCACTGCCCTGGGGAGACTTTGGCCAGTTTGGGATGATGGAGCTGAGCTTTGGGCCTGATTGGAACTACTCTCTGACCTGGGTTCACTGCTATTTCCAGGGTGGGCAGCTGCCAGTGTGGGCTTGGGGTGGGCTGTGGGCTGGGCCAGTAGACGGATGCCAGTGCCCAGCTCTGGCATCAAGCTGTGTGATCTTGAGTGAGCCCCTTCTTACTCTTACCGGGCCTCCATCTTCCCCTCTGTGAGAAGGGAGCCGGCTGGGCAACATGGCCTCCAAGGGTCCTTTCAACTCAACCGTCCACGATGGCAACAGGGTCTGAGGTTTGCCTGGAAAAATTCAGCTCCCCATGTCTTGCCACTGCTGTGGCATCCTGGCCTGCGGGCTTGCTCTCTGCTCTTCTGCCTGTCCCAGGCACCCAAGGCAGCCTACCAGGCCCCAGCCTGCCCTCCTAACCACCCTGCCTCTTGCCACCCTCTCTGCAGAGCTGCCGCAGCTATGGCGGGGATGAAGACAGCCATGGGGGACTACATTGACTCGTCCTGGGAGCTGCGGGTCTTTGTAGGAGAGGAGGACCCCGAGGCCGAGTCGGTCACCCTCCGGGTCACAGGGGAGTCGCACATCGGTGGCGTGCTCCTGAAGATCGTGGAGGAGATTAGTGAGTGCCTGCTGCCCCTGCTGCCCACCGGGTCTCTTGGCACTTCCGGGCCAGCCCTGCTGCTCCGTGCTCGATAACCGAGTCACAGTGACTCAGGCACCAGCTTAATCATTTGGTTCCAAAAAAGACATTTCCCCAGCTTAACTTCCCCTCCCTCCCACTGTCTTCCCTCCCTTCCTCCCACACCAGCTGGTTCTGCTAAGACCCCAAGGAGCAGACCCAACCACGGTCCCCCGTTCACCCACTTCTGGGGCAGGAGAGGCCTTGCCTTCGATGAGGCAGAGGTCCCACTCTAGAGGTCTGAGGGGGGACCAGAGGGGTCTCCTGGAGACTTGGGGGCCTGTTCCCACACTCTCTCCCCGGGCGGAAGCCCTCAGCAGGCTGGTGACAGGCCCAGCCCGAGTGGGAAGGCCCTGCCCCCACAGGAAGTTACAGCAGAGCCGCCTGTGGTATCAGCCCTGGAGGGGAGCGGGGCCAGTGACATGGGGGCTTCTCATCACCTCTCCTTGCTGGGGGTGGGGGCTGCCCCTTCCTGGGAGGGCAGCAGGCCTGCTCCGATAGCCAGAGCCGGATGGCAGGCCACGATAGTCCCAGCCAGCCGGGTCCCGGCTCCTGTGGGTGGGGATGGGACGGCTGCTTCCGACCCAGCCAACCCGCCACGTGCAGCCCAGGAGGGAGGTCAGTAGGTATACAGACAGGAGGGGGCCCCAGGGCAGCCCGGCCACAAGGCTGAAGTGGTGAAGGGAGCTTCCAGAAGGCAAGGCCCAAGGAGGCTGTGAAAGCAGAAGTAGGGAGAGAGGGTCCTTCAGGGGGACTGGGCGGCAGACCGAGACTCAGGCAGGCCTGGGCCAAGCAGGGCAGAGAGGGTAAAGACCAAGTGCCCCAAGAGAAGACCCGGTTGGGCCCAGGGCATGGCCCACGGCAAAGCAAGAGGCCTGAACAAGGAGCCAGTAGGACCCCGCTCCTCCACTTGCTGCTGGGCCCCTAGGGTTCAGTCCCTCCAGCTCCTGTCCCCTGCCCCGGGGACACTGTCCCTACTCCTCCGACTCTCACTTACTCCGTAGTACATCAGATGTCTACTGATGCTTAGCCAAGCCGGCCCATGCCAGCCCCTGGCCTAAAGAGCAGCCAGGCAGGTGAGACCCACCCTTCAGCAGCTGGCATAGGGCCGAGTGTTGTCCTGGGGGTGGGGGTGTGTGCCAGGATCAGCCAGCTTGGGGACCTGGAGCCAGAAGATGGGCCTCACAGTCCAAGACAGGGGCTTCCCAAGAGAGGCCACTTAATATGCATCCTGGGAGGGGTCTGTAGCAGGGAGGAGCAAGGTGGGATGTTGGGGCACAGGAGCGTTGTGAATTTGTCAGTGTTTTCTGAGAAGAAACAAGGCTGGAGTGACAGCCATAAGGCATTGCGGACTCCATCCTGGAGGTGGAGAGAAGTGGCTGGAGGGTTTCCAGTGAGATACCCAAGGCAGGTCCCTCGGGTTGGGGTGGGCTGGAGGATGAACAGGCGGTGGCTTTTGGAGGTGGGATTGGCATGGATTAAATGCACTGCCTAAAAGCAAAAGGGACTATGCTGGGCCTGGCAGGAGAGCTGTTGTCACGCAGCCCCCAGAGGTTGTGAGGAGAGGAGGTGCTTCTGTCCAGTGTCAGGCAGAGTGAGGTAAAAAGGAGCACCTTGGGAGCTGGGACTGTGAGTCATTGCATTTGTAGTCCCAGAGCTGGGCACATGGGCTGGTGAACAAAGATTTCTGGAATGAGCAAAGCCAGTGGACGTGCCTCTTAACCAGTGGCTTAGGGATTTTGGGCTGGGGCTCACACCAGGAAGATGAAACTGTAGACTAGGTGAGACCCCCCCCCCAGGAAGAGGCCATGGCCAAGGAGGGAGAAGAGGCTCCTCCAGCTGAATCAAATGGGGAAGGATGGAGCAGAGGGGCCAACGAGACAAAACAAGGGCAAAGGATCGGGAGGAGAAGGAAGATGGGTGCCAGAAAGCCAAGAACAGAGTGAGGGTGCAGCAGGGAGGCTCAGACAGACCCTCTCTCCATTCAGCTGCACTGCTGACTTCAGGGCAGGAGGAGGAGGGAGGGCCGCGGGAGGGAGCGGAGCTGCGGTGGGACCCCTCCCCAGGAAGGGCTTTGACACTAGAGGGCTCTGCCTATCCTGTGTCTTTATGCTCACCTGGCACCAGTTCAGCTTGTGGCTGGGGGTGGGGCGGGGGTGGAGGACGGAGAGGAGAGCGCATATCCTTATCCTCCATCCGTAACTGCAGGACTGTGAGGTGTTCACGTTTCTAACTGAATGTTTTCATGTGGCCGCATGTCTATGTCACAGACGCCACGCACTTACCATGGGGCAGGCACTGATCAGTGTCCATTGCTACCTACATCTCAGAAACTGCGAAACTGAGGCTCAGAGAGGTTCAGGCCCTGGCCGAGGTCACAGAGCTAGTAAGCATTATATATTTATGGACTGCCTGCTGTCTCCCAAGCTCCCAGGAATGCCAGAGAGAGGCCATGAAGCCAGGAATTGTGGGAGGTGCTGTACAGCGGAGCCCCATGGGCTGGAGTGTGTGGGGTGGGGGCCCTAAGACTGGGGCGTCTGGACTCTGAGTTGGGGGGTCCCCCAGGATGTTACTCCCTTCAGTAGTAGTGACTGAGCCCAGGTGGACAAGCAGGGTTAGCCAGCAAAAACGGTTCCGCAATGACCTCAATCCTAGACCCCAAGCTGACCCAGCCTGGCCCTGCCTTCGGGCTGGGTAGGGGAGGGGCAGTCAGCACCTCCGAATCCCAGGCTTGTGCTCAGCGCTGGGGGCCAGGGCCTCCGAGGCTGATGTGCACCCCCCGCCTGTGACCCCTCAGAGCGCAAGCAGGACTGGTCAGACCATGCCATCTGGTGGGAACAGAAGAGACAATGGCTGCTGCAGACCCACTGGACGCTGGACAAATATGGGATCCTGGCCGATGCCCGCCTCTTCTTCGGGCCTCAGCACCGGCCAGTCATCCTGAGGCTGCCCAATCGCCGGGCCCTGCGCCTCAGAGCCAGCTTCTCCCAACCCCTCTTCCAGGCCGTGGCTGCCATCTGCCGGCTCCTCAGTGAGTCCCCCGCTGGTTCCCACTCTGCCCCCTGCAAGGGTCCTGCCAGGGTGAGGTCCCCTCCCTTTACAGGCCCAGCTATTGTCACCTTGTCCTTGCTGAACTGCTCCCCATCCTGCCTACAGGGCAGGGAACTGCCCCAAACTGCCGGTGAGTGGGGTGGGAGGAGGTCCTAGGGCAGGACCCTAGGCCTGGCTGAGGCCCCAGCTCTCCCCAGGTATCCGGCACCCAGAGGAGATGTCTCTGCTCCGGGCTCCCGAGAAGAAGGAGAAGAAGAAGAAGGAAAAGGAGCCGGAGGAGGAGGTGTATGATTTGACCAAGGTCGTCTTGGCCGGGGGTGAGCGCAGACTGGGTGGCCCAGGGTTGAGGCGCAGGGGCAGGCTCAGGAGGCCTGGGGCTGGGGGCCGGGCCTGTTTGACCCCCGACCCGCACTCCAGGCATAGCACCTGCGTTGTTCCGGGGGATGCCAGCCCACTTCTCAGACAGTGCCCAGACGGAGGCCTGCTACCACATGCTGAGCCGGCCGCAGCCACCGCCGGACCCCCTCCTGCTCCAGCGCCTGCCCCGGCCCAGCTCCCTCTTGGACAAGACCCATCTCCACAGCAGGTGCCCCATGTGCTGGGGTCTGCACTCAGGCCACTCCCATAAGCCTGTACTTGCCCCCAGCCCCCTGCCCAGCCCCCACCCTGTCCCACCGCACCTGGCTCCGCCCTGACCCCGCCCCTGCCTCCCTGTGGCCCAGGTGGCTGGACTCATCGAGGTGCCTCATGCAGCAGGGCATCAAGGCTGGGGACACGCTCTGGCTGCGCTTCAAGTACTACAGCTTCTTTGACCTGGATCCCAAGGTGGGCTGGGTTGCAGAGAAGGGGTCTGGGTCAGTGGGACGTGGGTGTCTGGGCTCTGGGAATGGTAGCCATTCACAGGGTCCCGTCCATCTGTCCATGCGTCCACCCACACCCGTTTACTAACTCCACCAACACCTGATGCCAACACCTGTTTCTTAAGGGCTGTCGGGGAGGTAATGACCACAGCTCAGTGTAGACAGTGGCAGGTACCCCTGGGAAGTCTGCTCAGGCACCTGGCTCAGGGAAGGCTTCCTGGAGGGGTGGCCCTGGGACCTGCAGAAACTAGGGGCAGGTGAGGGACGAGGCTTTGCCGACAGGCAGCAGTGTGCCTCTCTCCCTCCCTGCCTACCGTCCCCACCCAGCAACCAATAGGCTCCATGCATCCGTCTCAAAAACCTCCAGGCGCTCCCTCTACCTGTGGCCCTGCTTCTCTGCGCCACTTCACTGCAAAATGTCTAAACCCTGGAATCCAGTGTCCTTACTCCCCGGAAGCCTTCTGTGTGGGTGCCCCTCGACTCCCTCCCTCTCCTCAGCCAAATCTATCCCTGCGTCTTCCATCCCCACCCTGCCAAGGGGATGGTGCCCTCCATGCTACCTGTTCCCTGCTCACTTCCCCTCCACATCTGTCTTACTTGGCCACTTGGGGTCATCGTGCACTTGGGGGTCTGTAGCTGCTCCGCCTGGGCTCCTTGGCTCTTCTGTCTCCAAGGCCTCTGGGTGTTGTGAGCCCCTGGGCTCCATTTCCAGCCTCCTTCTCTTCTTCCTTTCTCCCAGGAATCTCTTCTCATGGATTTAAGTATCTTGGTGCTCTTTATAGCTCTCAGATTTATCACCTCTGGCCCAGACACCTCTCCCCTGAGCTCTAGACTCCTGTGTCCACCTGGCCGTCTCTGCTCTGGTACCTAACAGGCACCCCAGGCTCCTTCCTGAAACAGAGCTCTTGATTCGGGTCTGCCCAGCACATCCTCCCACTATGGACTCATTGTAAAAGCCTCGCTCTCACCCCATTCTGGAGCCTTCCCTTTTCCTCTCACCTCACCCCTTATTGTGCCCTGTTGTGTCTTCATTGATCTAAAATCCTGAACCATTCGCTCCCTTCTGTCTCTTCACCCGTCCAGCGGCTGCCTCTCTCTTGTGGGTTACTGCAGCCCCTCCTAATGGACCCCTCTCCTCTCTTGGCCTCCCCAACCTCCACGCAGCATCTGGAATGAACACCTGCAAGTGGTACATCAGGTCCTGTCATTCCTGCTTAAATGGCTCCAGTGGCTGCCTATGGCCCAGGAGCCATGCCAGTGCCCGCAGGACCAGGTCCATCTGGCCCTGGAGCGGCCCCGCCCCGCCCACTCCCTCCCACCCACCCTGCCCCCTTTCTGCTTCCCCCACATCCCTGTCCCTTCCTCCTGCAGACTGTTGTTCCTTTCTCCCATCTTTCCTGCCTTCTTTTGGATTGAGGAGTTTGCATGAGTCTGTTTGTCTCCTTTATATTAGCGTATTAGCTATGCTGCTTTTTAAAACTTTTGGTAGTTGCTTTAGGTGTTATAGGACACATATACTATTGCCACCCAGTAATCCACTGCTTCACTGCAGTGTAAGAAGCTTACAACAGGAGAGATGCTCCGCTTCCCCTCCTGGCCTCACACACTCTGCTTCTACTGACGTCACAGCCCACAGTACACTGTCGTTCTTGCTGCTGTTACTACTATGATGATGGCTGTATTGAGAAATGATTCATCACCATAAAATTTGCCCATTTAAAGCGTACAGCTCAATGGCTTTTAGTGTTTTCACAGAGTTGTGCAACCATCACCACAATCAGTTTTAGAACACTTTCAGCATCCTCAGAAGAAATCTCACACCCGTTAACAGTCACTCCCCATTTATGCCCCACCCCTCAGCCCCTGGCATTGATTAATCTCCTTTCTGTCTCTATTTATTTGCCTATTCTGGACATTTCTTTTTGTTTTTATTTTTATTTTTTATTGAAGTATAGTTGACGTACAGTGTTTCAGGTGCATAGCAAAGTGATTTCGTTATACATGTATATATATGTATTTTTTTTCAGATTCTTGTCCATTACAGGTTATTACGATACTGAATACAGTTCCCTGTGCTAGACAGTAGGTCCTTGTTGTTTGGACATTTCATGTATATGGAATCACACACTACGTGGCCTTTTGTGGCTGGCTTCTTTCACTTAGCATAATGTTTTTTTTTTTTTAATAAAGGTACTGGGGATTGAACCCAAGACTTCTTGCATGTTAAGCATGCGCTCTACCCCTTAGCTCTACCCTCGCCCTTCTGTGCTCTTTATTCTCAAAATGCAGAGCTGGATTTCCAGCGGGAATCACTTTCTGTCTGCCTGAAGGACTTCTTTTAATATTTCTTGTAGAGTTGATCTCGACAAGAATGGTGATGAATTCTTTCAGGCTTTGTATGTATATCCATATAAGCCATTATTTTGCCTTTGTTTTTTTCATTAAATATTTTTTCAAAAAAATTTCTATGCTTTTGATTTTTAAATTTTTATTTATTATTTATTTGTCATCCATTTTAAAATGTGTTTTCTTTTTTTTTTTAAAGAATTTTTTGGTAGGGGTAGGTAATTAGGTTTGTTTATTTTTAGAGGAGGTACTGGGGATTGAACCCAGGACCTCATTCTACCTCTTGAGCTATGCTCTTCCCCCTCTTTGCCTTTGATTTTGAAAGATATTTTTACTCGGTGCAGAGTTCCTGGTTGATGGTTCTTTTTCCTTACAGTGCCTTAACGCTGATGCCTCCTGGTCTCGAGGCTCACACTGCTTCCAGCAGCCGACCTGCTGTCTCTGTGCTCATCTGTATGTGATGTGTCTTTTTTTTCTGACTGCTTTTATGGTTTTCTCTTTATCACTGGTTTTGAACAACTTGATGATCATGTGCCTCAGTTTGCTTCAGGTTTCTCATGCTTGGAATTCATTGAGCCTCTTGAATCTGAGTTAATAGTTTTCATCAAATTTGGAAAATTTTTGGCCTTTATTTTTTCAGATATTTTTTCTGCACCTCCTCGTCCCTTACGGGATTCCAGTTACATGAGTATTAGGCTTCTTAAAATTACCCACAGCTGATGGATGCTCTGTTCAGTTTTTTTTTTCTCATCTTATTTTTCTGTGTTTCATTTTGGATAGTTCTATTGCTTTATTTTCAAGTTTACTAATCTTTTCTCCTCCCATGTCTAATCTGCCATCAATCCCCTGCCTAGAAGTCCAGTTGTGACCTTTTTAAATATTTCCATCTCTCCTTAACATGCCCATGCTTTCCTCTACCTTCTTGAACATACAGGATATATTTTAAATACTTTTTTTAGTGTTTTTGTCCATTAATTCTACTATCTGTGTCATTTCTGGATCTATTTCTATTGACTATTTATCTGTTCATTATGGGTTGTATTTTTCTGCTTGTTTTCATGCCTTGTGGTAATTTTTTATTTGATACCTGACACTACTATAAACCTTATGTTCTTGGGTGCTTGATTTTTTTTTTCGATATTCCCTTAAATCTTTTTAAACCTTGTTTACAGATGAAATTAAGACAATTGGAAACACTTTGATCCTTCTCAAGCTTGCTTTGAACATTAATTAATAATTGTAATTTATAATAATTCAATAATAATGAATTAGACCGGACAAAAGCATCTTTTAGTCTAGGGCTAACTTACTTTATTACTGAGACAATAACCTCCTGAGTCTTCTGACATGACATATTGTGAGGTTTCTCTAACCTATGTTTGGGAATGTGAAATATTCCCACCCAACATGAGCTCTGATTAATGTTCTACCAGCTCCTCTGCAGTGGTTTCTTCCACCAGCCTTGAGTAGTTTCCTTACACACATAGGCGGATCAGTACTCAGCTAAAGACCTAAGAGGAGCCCTCTGTGATCTCCATCCAGAGCTCTCTCTCTGTGCAGCTCTCTCCTCTCCAGCACTCTGTCCTGTGAACTCTAGCTGCCTTGGACTCCCCAAATTCTCAACTGCATCTTCTCACCTGCTGGGCTCTGTTTGAGGTCCTCCTCCCTACTACGGGGAGCACACTCACTCCAGAAAGTAAGCTAGGCAATCTCAGGATGCACTTCTTTATTTCTCTTCTCTCTCTCTCTGTGGTCTGTTGTCCAATATCTTTTTTTCTTTTTTATGGAGGTACTGGGGATTGAACCCAGAACCTCACGTATGCTAAGCATGTACTCTACCACTGAGCTATACGTACCCGACTGTTGTGCAATATCTAAAAACTGTTTGGTCTTTGTCGTTTTCCTTGTTTTATAAATTTTATCTTATTTATGTATTTTTTAATTGATGTCTAGTTGATTTACAATTAGTTTCTGGTGTATAGCTTAGTGATTCAGTTACATACTTATCTATACATATTCTTTTTCATTAAAGTTTAGTCCATGATATTGAATATAGTTCCTTGTGCTATACAATAGAACCTTGTTGTTTATTTTATATATAGTAGTTTGTATTAAATTTAATTTAATTTTATTTTAAACATTTTTATTGCATTATAGTCATTTTACAATGTTGTGTCTAAATTTTATTTTTAATCAAAGTAATATATGATGGCTTAAAGAGTTGAATGGTCCCAATAGTAATAAAAACAACAACAAAAAGCAGTTCCCTTCTCACCTCTCCTTATCCTGGATTTCTCATCCCTAGAGACTGTAGATTTTAACTCTGTAGCTTTTTATTCTAGTGTTTACATCTGTATGACAAGCTTATATATGTCTCTTCCTTGATATTTCCATTTCACATATTACACATTCACTTTGTATGAAGATGAAGATTTAGCTGTCTTCTGTGCTCCCTCCCTCCCCCACAACACACACATCTCTTTGCATCTTTCCAGTTGAGTTGTATTATGGCTTTTGGTTAAAACAACATGATTGTGGCTATAAATAGTAACACATATAACTAGCATTCTTAGCTAAGCCACAGAATAACTATACTTCCTTCTTGGTCAAATTTTTCTTGGAGTTCATCATTGTTATATTTTTTAAAATTTATTTTCTGGTAATTGTCTGTGTATAATTAGAAAAGAGACCCCAAAGGCTAGCTGGACATTCTCTGAATCTGTGGCTTGCCATGGGGAGTCTTCATGGTGATGAGGTGGGATGTTCCATAACCAAGCCCCTCCAGCATTGCAACCCAACCACAATACTCCTTTCAAAATAGTTGATTACTTTAGGATATCAGTCAGTGTTATTTTCTGGCCAGAACCATGAATGGTGGCAGTCTAAACCCAGCACTTGGCCATTGTCCTTGAACTTCCCTTCACTATTTCCTAGGAACTCCTATATTAGACTTTTGGTTCCTAGCTCTCTTGTGTTCCTTTTTCTTGACTGACTCCCTCATCTTGATGGAGTATATATTTCAACAGCTTCCCCTAAAATGGTAAAATAGTAATAGCTTCCCCTAAATGATTTGAAATCCTGCATGTTTGGAAAGGTGGCTATTCCCCTCACTTGTGTGATAGGAATAGAATTCTAGGTTTGAAACAGTTTCCTGCCAAATTTTGAAGCCACCTTCTCATTGTCCTTCAGTTTACAGTGTTGCTGCTGAGGAGTCTGATGCCATTTTTATTTTCAATTCTTCCATGTGTGGCTCTTTCAGTTTTTCTTGGAGGGGAGGGGAGGCACTAGAGGTTTTTAAGAATCTTCTTCTTACCTCTTGATGTTTTAAAAGCTCTCAATAGTATGTCCTGGCATGAGTCTTTCTTCAGTGATGGGCCTGCACACTTTCCAAGCCCTTTCAAATAAAAAACCTGGGCCCTCCAGTTCTGGAAATATGTTCTATACAATGTCTTTAATAATTCCCTCCCCTCCATTTTTCTTTTCTTTTCTTTTTTTTCCTGGAACTTAGTAGATATTAGACCTTCTGGGTTAATTTTTTAAATTAGATATTGGCGGGTAGGGGGTATAGCTCAGTAGTAGAGAGTGCTTGGCATGCACAAGGTCCTGGGTTCAATCTCCAGTGCCTCCATTAAGGGGAAAAAGTAAAAATAAAAAATAAATTAATTTTAAAAATAAAATAAAACAATTGTAAATATACATATTTTAAAAATTAGACATTTATCTTTTCTTCCTTTTTTTATGCTTGTCTTTTTGTTCTACTTTCTGGAGAGTTCCTTAAATTACCTTTCAAATGATCTATTGAATTTTCAATTTCTGCAACCGACTTTTTAAATTCTAAGAGGCTTTATTTTCTGAGTTTTCCTTTTTAGTGGGTGTGTGTGTGTAACATACATTTAGAAATATTCACAAATATAACCAACACATCAAGCAAAAGAACTTCAGGAGCTTTCAGAATCCTCCCTCATACCCAGGCAATATCTCCCACAGGGGGAACCACTAATGTTCCTTCCAATGCCATAGATTAGTTTTGCCTGTATTTTAAATCTATGATATCACACGGTCTATACTCTTTTGTGTCTGGCTTCTATCAGTCAGCATTATGCTTGTATGATTCTTCCCTGTTGCATATAGAGGTAGCATATTCTTTCTTATTGGTGTGTAATATTCCATGACATCAACATACAACAATTAATTTTCCATTCTACTGTTGATGGGCATTGTGCAATTTCCATATTGGCCTGTTATGAATACAAATGCTATGAACATTCCAGTATACGCCTTTTAGTGAAGATATGCACACGTTTCTGTAGTCCCAGAGGTGGAACTGCTGGGTAACAGGGCAGGCATTGGTTTAGTTGTAGCAGATAATTGTCAAACAGTTTCCAAAGTGGCAGTCCCAATTTACAGCCCCATCAGCAGTGTATGAGAGTTTCAGTTGTTCTGTAACTTCACCAGCATGTGGTATTCCCTGTATTTTCCATTGTAGCCATTCTGGTAGGTGTGTAATGGTATCTCATATGGTATTTTGTTTGTTTTTTCAAGCAGCTTTACTGAGCTATAACTACATACCATAAAAATCACCCACTGTAGGCATTCAGTTTATTTTTAGTAAGTTTATACAGTTGTGCAACCATCACCACAACCCAGTTTTAGAACATTTCCATCACCCTAGGAAGTTCTCTAGTGCCCATTTGCAGTCATTCCTCCTCCCACACCCAACCCCAGACAATCACTGATGTGCTTTTTATGTGGCTCTAATTTACATTTCCCTGATGACTAGCCATGTTGAGAAATTTTTCATATGGCTATTAGTCATTTGGGTATCCTCTTTTGTGAAGTTTCTGTTCAACTGTTTTGCCAATTTTTATACTGAGTTGCTTGTCTTTTTCATATTGTTTCTTAGTAGTTCTTTATATATTCTGCACATGAGTACTTTGTCAGATAAATATATCATGAATATTTTCCCCACTCTGTGCTTTGCCTTTTCATTCTCATAATAGTTTATTTTGGATAAGCAGAAGTTCCTAATGTTAATACAATCTGTAGTTCTATTTTTCTCTAAAGGCTTTATTGTTTTAACTTTCATATTTAGATCTGCAATCCATCTGGAACTGATACTTGTATGTGGCATAAGGTAGGGGTAAAAATATATCTTTTTACCATATGGGTATCCAACTGACCCAGATCCATGTATTGAAAAGAGCATCCTTTCCCCAGTGATGGCAAGATCACCTTTGTCCTAAGTCAGGTGAACATGTGTAGGTCTCTCTCCAACTGTTTCTTTGATTCCATCGATCAATTTGTCTCTCTTTGTCAATGCCATGCTGTCTTAATTCCTTTAACTTTATAATTACGTTCCTTTAAATAACAACATTGTGTTCTTGTTTTATGAATGTGGTAGTTTGTCTCTGTAAGGATTTTGACTAGTGTTTGAAGTTTTTCCTGCTCCCTACTTTATTTCCTCCCAGCTCTTTCCCCCCATTTGACTTGGTCTCTGTAGTTCATGCTAGCTAGCAGCTTTCTTTCAATGTGGGTAATCCCTGCCTGTCCTTTCATATTTAGAAGTAAGGCTCTATGAAGCCAATTGGAAACTCTGAGTGGATGAAGAGGGCTTGGCATTTTGGGGGCCTCCTGGGGGGGATGGGGCAGGGATACTACTCTTTGTGGGGGTTTTCTGTTTGGCTTCTCAGCAGTGAAATCTCTGATCTCCTGACTGGGTATAGAAGGCTTGCTATCAATGTCTTTGGTGACAAGTAGGGAAGGGCTGGGGGTGTCTCACCTTTCAAAACACCAACTTTTTCTTAATTCCTTTGTTTTCAGGATAGTGAACCCCAACCCAGCTGTACCTAGAGTACCAAATGCAGGGGTACCTCTGGCTCAGCATCTCCAGAGAGCAAACCTCTGGCTTCTACCAGGTGCCAGCTGGTTGCCACTTAGGTGCGGGGAGTAGGAAGAGAACTGCTCCATTTAGAGACTTTCTCTGGTCCTCATTTCAGCCCACCCTCACCTCTCAGCCAGAGGATCCCAGACTGGAGACTGTCAGCTTTGTGAACTGGATACTTTTGCTCAGATCTTAGTTCTTTTTGCTGTTTGTTCTCTGATATTTTCAAAACTCTTTAGTGCCTTCACCATAGAACAAGACAGGGAAAAGGGCATGAGATCCCAGCTCTTCCTCCCTGCAACTCAGTTCCCATCCATGTTTTCACTACCCATCTTCCAAAATTTTGTTGGCGTCTCTCACCTGCTGTAGTCCTCTTTCTCTTGTCTTTTTTGGTTTACCCTTTTTATGCTGTCAGTTCTGGTGGGTTTCAGTAGGAGTGTGGGCCTGATCTTCTGTGGGTAACTGGGATCCCCTTTTGAGCTTCTTGTTCCTTCTCTCTGGAATAGTCTTCCTATCACTCTTCCCTTCAATGGCCTGTTGTCATCCCTCAGGTCTCAGTACAAGCATGTCTCCTCCTCAGGGAAGCCTTTCCTGAAAGCTTCCTCATATAGTGTAGCACCCCTGCACCCCAGTTCCATTCTGTCTCATCATGATCAAACTTGTGGGGTTCTTACCTGAGGGCATGAGTGAGCCACCCTTTGGAATCTATTTCCTTTTTTTGTCGGAGGAGGTAGGTAGGTTTATTTATTTATTTTTAATGGAGGTACTGGGGATTGAACCCAGGACCTCATGCATGTTAAGCACTCACTCTACCACTGAGCTATACCCTCCCCCACTGGAATCTATTTCCTCTATAGCTTTGATTATACTCTTGAATCACTTCACTTATTTATTGATTGGTTTACTCAGCCCCGCTTGTCCCTTCAGCAGCATGCAGGGCACACAGTAGACAGAGTAAGTATCTGTACAAAAAGTTTTAGAGGGACGAAGCTGCCACCTACCTGGGCAGATGGGGCCGGCAGCTAGGAGGCTGGGATTGGGGTCTGCTGCCTGTGTGGGGCCACTCAATGAGCTCCCACCACTCCAGATAGACCCAGTGCGGCTGACCCAGCTGTACGAGCAGGCTCGGTGGGACCTGCTGCTGGAGGAGATTGACTGCACGGAGGAGGAGATGATGGTGTTTGCAGCCCTGCAGGTGCCAGGCAGGCCTGGGGGCCCGGGGCAGCTGGGTGCGGGTCAGGCGCAGGGCAGGGAGGGTCTTCCAGCGGAGGGGACCCATCTCCAGAAAGCCCAGCTGAGGGCACTGTTGGGCTGATGGGTGGCCTACTAAGCCCTTCCTGGCTGTGCGCCCCTCCCAGTACCACATCAACAAGCTGTCCCAGAGCGGGGAGGTAGACGAGCCAGCCTGCACAGACCCAGGGCTGGACGACCTAGATGCAGCCCTGAGCAACCTGGAGGTGAAGCTGGAGGGCTCGGCGCCCACAGATGTGCTGGTGAGGAGGGGCTCTGGTCAGAAGTTGGGGTCAGGGTCAACTGCAGGGACCAGGTTCCCCCTGACTCCTCTCCTCCCCAGGACAGCCTCACCACCATCCCAGAACTCAAGGACCATCTCCGGATCTTCCGGTGAGTTTGGGCTGAGAGTTGGCAGCCCTGCTAAAGGGACCCAGTGTGGAGAGAGTCCAGGAGGAAGGGAGACGGCCTGTCCTGAACCTCCTGCCCCACCCTCAGGCCCCGGAAGCTGACCCTGAAGGGGTACCGCCAGCATTGGGTGGTGTTCAAGGAGACCACACTGTCCTACTACAAGAGCCAGGACGAGGCCCCAGGGGACCCCATTCAGCAACTCAACCTCAAGGGTGAGCGAGGGCGGCCTGGCCAAGAGAGGGGCAAGGGCAGGGGCTGGCTGGGGCCTACAGGACCACCTGTGGGCTGGTCAGGTGAATGTTGTCACTTGTTTCCTCCCGGGTGCCTGGGAAGATGCCCTCTGTCCTGAGGCTGCTGTGCGTGGCTGCCATTCACCTGGGGATCTCTCATCAGGCTCCCTTCCTCGGCCTCCTAGTCTTCCTTCTCCCTCCAGGATGTGAGGTGGTCCCCGATGTCAACGTCTCAGGCCAGAAGTTCTGCATCAAACTCCTGGTGCCTTCACCTGAGGGCATGAGTGAGATCTACCTGCGGTGCCAGGATGTGCGTGACGGCCGGGCTGAGGCTGGAGTGGGAATGGGGCCAGGGCTGGGCCGGGGCCAGGGCTGGGCCAGAGCCTGGCTGGCCTCTCACCCTGTTCCTCATCCCTCCCACCCCAGGAGCAGCAGTATGCCCGCTGGATGGCCGGCTGCCGACTGGCCTCCAAGGGCCGCACCATGGCAGACAGCAGCTACTCCAGCGAGGTGCAGGCCATTCTGGCCTTCCTTAGCCTGCAGCGGACAGGCGGCGGGGGCTCGAGCAACCACCCCCAGGGCCCTGATGCCTCCACTGAAGGCCTCAACCCCTATGGCCTTGTCGCCCCCCGCTTCCAGCGGAAGTTCAAGGCCAAACAGGTGCCAGAGGGAGTGGGTGATGGGAATGACCACAGGGTTTACCTGGCCACCCTTGGCCCCTGGATCTCCACAGGGCCCTTCTCTGGAAATGCAAGGGCTCACTGGTTCCTTATCCCATCCATGTCCCTGAGACTGAGCGTGCTGGTCCCCATCCTCTGGGAGGGGTCATGGTCCAGCTGCCCATGTCCACCTCAGGACAGGGCTCAGCTCACATTTGCTGAATGGTGAGAGGGTGCCCTCAGGTGGCCCCACCCTGACACTGCCCCTGCCCCAGGCTCCATACACCCTGTCTCCCTGATGTGGACAGGCAGGGGGTCTCAGGGACTTTGGCAGCCCCTCACCAGCGTGGTCCCGCAGCTCACTCCACGGATCTTGGAAGCCCACCAGAACGTGGCTCAACTCTCGCTGTCAGAGGCCCAGCTGCGCTTCATCCAGGCCTGGCAGTCCCTGCCTGACTTTGGCATCTCTTATGTCGTGGTCAGGTACAAGCTACCCCCAGCCCGCTCTGCCCTCCCCTGCCACCTGGGAGGTGTCACCCTGAGGCCTTCCTTCCTGTCCTCTGTTGGAAGACCTTACTGAGGGCACTCTGTGTGCAGCCCCCTCCATCCTGTACCTGCACAGCAAACAAGAGAGATCAGGCCAGGAGAACAGGAGACCCAGCACCCATCCCAGACCCTCTCTGGACCTTGGGTAGCTGGTCTGAGGGACAGGGCCATGGGTGGCTGCTGTGACAGGGACTGCCCCCTTTGATGGCCTGTTTTCCAAGCCTGCAAAGATAGGAGCAAACAGATGATGCTGGTATCAAAAAAAGTCACTATTTAAAAGGCATGGACTATTTGCCTGTCACTGCTAAATGCTATCACAGTGATTATTTCAATGAACTCCCATTTTCCAGATGAGGAACTTGAGGCCCAGAGAACTTAAATGACTTACTTGTAAGCTTGCTCCTGTGCTGCACCAGGCTGTCTGGGCAGGATCTGGGGCCATGCAGGGTGGGGCCTGCCTCACACTCTCTCCCCTTGGGCACCAGGTTCAAGGGCAGCAGGAAAGATGAGATCTTGGGCATTGCCAACAACCGACTGATCCGCATTGACTTGGCCGTGGGTGATGTGGTCAAGACCTGGCGCTTCAGCAACATGCGCCAGTGGAATGTCAACTGGGACATCCGGCAGGTGGGCCCGGAGTGAGGGTGGAGGGAGGGACAGGGGGCTGGCCAGACCCAGCCAGGGCAGGGGCTGCTGCCTTAGCCCACCCCCCACCAGCCCTCTGACTGACCGCCCTGCAGGTGGCCATCGAGTTTGATGAGCACATCAACGTGGCTTTCAGCTGCGTGTCTGCCAGCTGCCGTATTGTGCATGAGTACATTGGGGGCTACATTTTCTTGTCAACGCGGGAGCGGGCCCGCGGGGAGGAGCTGGACGAGGACCTCTTCCTGCAGCTCACAGGAGGCCACGAGGCCTTCTGAGGCCTGTCTTATTGCCCCCACCCCACTCACCACCTGCCACGACCGCTCCTAAACCCACACCCACTAGGACTCAGTGCCCCCACCCTCTCCAGATATGCACTGAGCTGGCACATTCACCCACTGTCACTGGCTTTGTGCAGACCAAGGACCTGGCCGGGCCAGATTCTGTCCTCCCCAGGCTAGGAAAGGTGGGCCCTGAGCTTGTCCAGCACCCGCCCTTCCCTTGTCTGAAAGGCCAAGACCAACACCCTTGCCCTAGCTGTACTTCCTGAGCACACAAGGAAGACCAGTTGCAGCTACAGGATGATGACTCATGGTTTAAGATTAGAGTTTCTTTTTTGTTACATTTTTTTATTTTTAAAAAAATAAATATTTTATTGTTGGGTCACCCTTCTTCCTCTGGAACTGTGCTTGGGGCCACTCTGACATTCTGTCTCTTCATTACCAGCCAAGGAGAGGGGCTTTCCTGAGATAGAGATAAGAGCTGGTTAGAAAAAGGGAGACCTAAGTCAGCCTGGGGTTGGAAAGTGGGGAAGATGTGAGGCAGAGAGCACAGACTTCAGGCACAAAGAAGAGGGGTGGGGTGGTGCTTCTTACGGGTAGGGCGTAGCTGCAGGGCCTCCTTGAAGTACTTGGGAAGCAGGATGCCATCAGTATTTCCTGGAGTCAGAATCACCCCATTGGCAGAGCGGAAAAAGGGGATTCCATCTGCAGACAGAGACAGAGACGTGACTTATGACCTCTCTGAAGGTCTGGGGCGGTCCCTACTGTGTCCAGACTTACCTGCCAGGGCCAGGGGCCCATTGATGAACACAGCCACTTCACAGTTTGGCCGCATGCCTATGGAGACAATGGAGCTGGGGCCTGGGGCGTGTGGGTTGTGGTTATCAAACTTAGGCAGGCTGGGGTCCTGGGCTCAGTGCAGGGAAGAGGAGGTGCTCCTGCATACAGGGCCTGGAGTGGCCCTGGACAAGGGAGGTGATGACACTTGGAGGGGGATCTGGGAGGACAGATTGGGTGGGAATAGTTGGTGGGGTGGTCACTGACCACTGATGACACCAGGGTCCCCAGGCAGTCCTGGGGCCAGGTGTATGTGCGTCCTTCCCCGGCAGGACAGGCCCTTGATCAGGATGGATGGCCAGTGCCGCCAGAATGTGCCATGGACGAGCATCAGGGGCAGGGCCTGTGGGGTCTCCAGGGGCATCAGCTCCAACTCAGGTACCTGGGATGGGTGGGGGAATTGGCAGCAGTGAGAACCCCTCACCAGCAGAGATCCCGCCTGGCTCTCCCACTTGTCCCCCTAGCTCCCACCTGCAGGGAGTGGCCCTGATTGGCCCGGATGAGAAGGCCGATGCCGGGGTCCCCTGCCTGCAGGGTGAACCGCTGCTTCCCATTGGTGTCCACCACGCGCTGTACATCTTCAGCTGAGAAGCTGCGGAACTGGGGCAGCTGCAGGAGGGCACCCAGGGGCACAAAGCCATCTGCAGGTGGGCAGGGTGGTCAGGAGCTGAACTTGCTCTGGCCTGGGCCAGAATTAACAGTGGGAGAACAGTGGGAGAATTAACAGGCCAGGAGAACAGGAGACCCAGCACCCATCCCAGACCCTCTGTTGACCACAAGCAACAAAAATAGAGCCTATGTGACCTTTAGAAAGTCTCCCCTTTCTGGGCCTCAATTTTCTCAACTGGCATGGGAATAGGATCTGTCTCAAGGGTCACCAAGATAAAGCACAGTGCCCAGCCCAGAGTGGACACTTAGTAAACATCAGTTGCCCCAACAGACCCCAGTACCCACTCTTGGGATAAGTGTTCATTGGGCCACTGAGCAGGAGGTATCATCAAGCTCAGCCCAGAGAGAGGCTCCTCTCCCAGTCTGCACTGGATGTGATACTGGGCTATGGGTCTAGGTCTTCCCTGTACATGGAAGGGATGTGCCTTGGGTGCCATCCCTATAGGGCCATGGTGGGAGCTACAGGGGAAGGCAGTCACAGATAGGCTCACACTCTCCCTGGGTTCCAACCACTCCTAGGCCCAGCCTTCACGATGCTCACTTACCGGCTCCCATGGGAAGCCCCAGTTTCAAGGCCCCGTGGCGCAGGGTGTAGGACAGAGCCTTGGACAACTGTACATCTCGGTCCTGAAAGAGACCAGAGGTGGCCCCTAGTCCCCATGGTGATCCTGCCCTACTTCTCACCCTGAACTCTGAGTGACCCCCTGCAGAGGGAGACCAGAGGGAGAGGAGGCCCTGTGCTCCAGGGAATAGTACAACCCATCAGGCCCCACTCCCACCCCAGGGCTCAGAGTTCCCCTCTCCAATCCTCCTACCACGGGAGCCGGAGTGAAGGTGGGAAAAGCACACCTGTTCACGGGGTTTGTGAGCCCTTCTCCTGGGCCCTGCTGCTTCCTGCCTCCTTCCTCCAGAGGAGTTCATGGCCAAGACCTGAGGGGAGCAGTGACATGTGGGGACTGTTAAGGACCTTCCCATACCCCCACTCTGCCCAGAAAGTCACAAAGCCTCCGAATGTGACAGCTGGATATTCAGGTCAATAAATTCACTTCCCACCCACAACTCCCTGGTGCGGAGAGGTAAACTGAGGCCCAGCAGGCAAGACTTGCCCAAGATCACACTGTGTCAGCCACGGGGCCGAAGGCCCAGGGAAGCCGAGCCCCCGAGCTCCAGGCTCCGGAAGGCAGGCCCAGGGAGGCGGAATCAGCGTCCAGGATAACGGGGCGGAAGCGTCAAGGCTGGCCAAAGTAGTTAGAGACGGAAGGAGGAAGAGGGAAGAGCAGGACTACCAACGCCGGGTGCGGACGGCTAACCCCCTCCGCCGGGCCGGAGCGCAGGAACCGGCCAATGAAAAGCCGAGAAAGAAGGGGGCGGGCACTTCCGCTGCGGGGGAAAGGGGAGGAGCCTGAGGAGAGAGTGGGCGGGTAAGTACCGGCTGGAAGCTGGAGCTTCCGGACTCCGGGAGGGGTACGGGGGCGTCGGGGGTTGGAGGAGGATCCCATGGTTTTAGGAGGCATGGACTTTAGAGGGTGGCTGGATCCAGGACCTCTGGGTGGTAGGGATGCCCGTGAATCAGTCTCAGGGATGTCTGACAGCAGGAGCCTCGGAGCTCTTGCTGGGATGTTAAGACCCTTTACTGCGCCGGGAGCGGTCAGTGGGGTACAGAAGGGCTGGGGGTACCCTCAGGAGGTCTCAGGCAGAGGGGGCCAGCTGCTGTGCCCAAGGGTGGCTGTAGGTCCCCTGGGGTGACAGGCCTGGCTGTGTCCTTCCCCAGAACTGTCCTGTACAGACCATGGACCCTGAGGTGTCCCTGTTGCTGCAGTGCCCTCCCCGGGGACTGCCTAAGGAGCAGGTACGGGCTGAGCTGAGCCCAGCCTACGACCGTCGCCCATTGCCAGGAGGAGACAAGGCCATCACTGCCATCTGGGAGAGCCGGCTTCAGGCCCAGCCCTGGCTCTTTGACGCCCCGAAGTTCCGCCTGCACTCCGCCACACTGGTGCCCACTGGCTCATCAGGGCCACAGCTGCTCCTGCGCCTGGGCCTTACTTCTTATCGAGACTTCCTGGGCACCAACTGGGCCAGTTCAGCTGCCTGGCTGCGACAGCAGGGGGCCACCGATTGGGGAGACAAGCAAGCCTACCTAGCAGACCCCCTAGGGGTAGGCGCCGCACTGGTCACCGCGGACGACTTCCTTGTCTTCCTGCGCCGCTCTGGGCAGGTGGCTGAGGCACCTGGGCTGGTGGATGTTCCTGGTGGGCACCCTGAGCCTCAGGTGAGATGCCAGGTTTGGCACAAAGGTACAAAAACCCAGACAGCTCGGCTTGGTTTTCCTCATCCATTAAAAGAGGAGTTGGCTTGGTTCTTCTCCAAAAATCTGCTCAGGGCAGCCTCCCCACTGAATGCTGCCCCAGACCTGTGGGAAGCTAGGGAATTGGGGAAGGCAGGGTAGAGGACTTAGCTGGCTCTCTGGTTGTCTGGAAAAGGAAGGCGTGGGTCAGGGGATCACCAAGACTCTTATTCTGTGCCCAACCAGGCCCTCAGGGCCAGTGAATATGGGGGATAGGAGGGCTGGAAGAGGAGAGCAGGGGCTGAGCCTGACCTCTCACAGGCGCTGTGCCCAGGTGACAGCCCCCTGCACAAGGACCTCCCTGGGGAGCTGGTGGTGCATGAGCTCTTTTCCAGTGTCCTCCAGGAGATCTGTGATGAGGTGAGTGAGGGGCGACCCTGACAGGGTGGTAGACGAGGGAGGGCATAGAACATGCCAGAATTCCACAGATCTGGGCTGGCGGAAGGATCTGTAGGCATCTGGCTTTGAGCAAAGAGCTTGGCTTTGTAGCTCAGCACACTTGATGTGGGACTGTAGCCCTCATTTCTTTTGTTTGTTTGCTTTTGGGGGGGAGGTAATTAGGTTTATTTACTTATTTTATTATTATTGTTGTTGTTATTGTTATTATTATTATTTTATTTGATGGAGGTACTGGGGATTGAACCCATGACCTTGTGCATGCTAGGCACGTGCTCTACCACTGAGCTATACCCTCCCCGCTCTTGCCCTCATTTCTGTGTGCCTCAAGGTCTCCCTCTTTACAATGTGAGCAATGATAGATGTCTTGCACACTACCCCCAGGTTTGTTGAAAAGAGGAATAAATGAGAGTCCGGGTTACTAAATCCACTTCCCTTGGGTGACCTTGGCGAATTGTTCAATGTTTCAGGGGTTTTGGTTTTCCCATGTAAAATGAACATGCCCGAGATCTGACATTCTGTGATTCTGGGCACTTGAACTACAAACTGTAAGATGCTGTACAGGGATAACATGCTGTTCTTCATTGAGGGGGGCAGAGATGTAGGCAGTGGGCATTGATAGGTGTTACCCCTGGCTCCAGGTGAACCTGCCACTGCTCACCCTGAGCCAGCCACTGTTATTGGGCATTGCCAGCAATGAGACTAGTGCCGGCCGTGCCAGTGCCGAGTTCTACGTCCAGTGAGTGAGCTCTGGGGAACATTGTCCTGGGTCCTGGGGTAGGTGGGTGGTTGAGGGGCTGGGGCCCCTCAGGGGCTCGCTAGGGGCTAGGCATTCACCAGGCCACTCTCATGTCCTTGTCCAGGTGCAGCCTGACTTCTGAGCAGGTGAGGAAGCACTACATGAGTGGGGGACCTGAGGCCCACGAATCCACAGGAATCATCTTTGTAGAGACACAGGTTCGAGGTGGCAAAGTGTGTCTCATTTGGTTAAGAAGCCTTGTGGAGGCCTGGTGATGCATGTCTATATTCCTGGGCTGGGTCAGAGGGGGTCCCAAATCTCTCAGGGCTTTCCTCCAGAATCACAAGGCTTCACTGAGGATGCCCTCAGCTCAAGGGAGAGGGCCAGGGACCTGTTCAGCCCCCTTAATATGTCTCCCCAGAGGGCTCTGAGGCCCGGGAACTGTGGAACAGTTGTGAACTCAAGAACAGCCCCCTCAAGAAACCTGAGGTCGTAATGTCTGGATCTCACTGTCTCCCCACAGAGTGTGCCTAGGTTGCAGGAGATGGAAATGTGGACTGAGATCTGTCCCTCGGCCAAAGGCGCCATCTTCCTCTACAACCGGGTCCAGGGAGGTTCCACCTGAGTCGCCCTAGATTCCCCAGCCCTATCACCACAGCTCGGAAGACAATAAAGGACTTTATTCTTGGATTCCGTTGGCATCTGCTGTTTACACTAGATAGAGATGGGCCGCTGGGAGAGCCCAGGGTGGGTGAGAGAGACAGGACAAAAGACCGGGGGCGGAGGAAAAAGGCCCAGCCTGTTTTCCCCTCTGCAAGCTGAGATGAGGGCCATTCCCCCTTGCCAGGCTGTAGTGAGGTTCCAAACCGACTGTGGGGTAGAATTGCTTTGTGAAATGAAATATGCTGCGCTGCAGAGTGGAGTAACAGCCACGTCCGAGGGAGGAGCAACGGCGGCGTGCCGAAAGCCTCACTGAGGGTCAGGATGGGTCCCGCTGCCTTACCTGGTAGTCGGTGGGTCTGGACCTCTTTGAGTGGGCCGGAGGTGTCAAAGGCCAATAGATTGCGGGGGCGGGGCCTCGTCGCAGATCCGCGCCACGGGCGTGGTCTGGGGCGTCTAAACCAATGAAAGTATGGAGGCGGGGCCTGACTAGGCACAGGAAATGGCGGCCGGCGCGGAGTCCGTGAGAGCAGTAGGGGCGGGGCTTGGTGTGGCTCCTCCTGCCCCCGTCTCTCCAGCTCCCCGGGTGTGACGGGGGTATCTACGTCCGGGGCTGGCTGTCCAGACACCAAGACGAGTATGGAGAAGGGCGCCGGATACCCGGCTCAGAGCAGAGGAAAGGGCTAGGATATTGGCGTCTGGTCTTGAGCAAGGAGGCCCCACCCGCTCCTGGGTTCCCCGGACCTGCTTGTTTTCCTTCGCAAGTAATCGAGGCCAGGCCCCTTCCCTCTGCCCACGCACCTCCCCGAGTGCTTGAAGTCTGGTCCCATCCTGGTCCCACCTCACTCCTTTTTGTGGCCTCCTTTCACCAGCTGTCCGCCTGCCGCCATGCTGCCCCTGCGCCTGTGCCGGCTGTGGCCCCGCAGTCCTCCCACCCGGTTCTTCGCAACTGCAGCCCGGCAGCGGTGAGTCGGGCGCCCGGGGCCGGGCCCGGTAATTCAGTGGGTTTTTGTTGAGGGCCTGCCCAATTTTAGGCCCTTCCCCAGGTGCTGAGATAGTTGTGATCTGATGCTCTGTGTCAGGTTACCGTCACCTTCGCTGCTGAGAATCAGAGATTAAGGGGACGACCCCTAAGGTCATACAGAGTTAAGTGGAAGATCTGGAATCTGAGCTCAAGCCAAACCCAATGCGCTTTCCATAATAACACTGGTGGTTGTCAGGCATCTCTGTGTATAACCACTGCTGGATCGGGGTGGGGGGGCGTGGCTTACAAAAATGCAGATAGCTGGGCCCTGCTATGGAGACTGATTTGCAGGAATGAAGTGGGGCTCAGGAATCTTTTTTAAAATACGCTTTTCAGGTGGTTTTTTAAAAAATTTTTAATTGAAGCATAGTTGATTTAGAATGTTGTGTTACTTTCAGGTGTACAGCAAAGTGATTCAGTTTCACATATATATACTTTTCGGATCCCTTTCCATTATAGATTATTACAAGATATTGAATATAGGTCCCTGTGCTATACAGTATATCCTTGTTGTTTATCTATTTTATATATAGTAGTGTGTATCTGTTAATCTTAAACTCCTAATTTATTCCTCCCCCTCTCAGGTGTTTCTGACACAAGTAGTCTAAAGCCTACACTTTGAGAAATTCTGATCTGCCCCATATCCAGAACAGCCAAAAAGAGAGGGATAATTTAGAGATAGATCCCCCTTGGCACCCTGCCTCAGCCCCCTCAACACCTTGTTGCTGAGTTTAAGGGTGTGGCCCGGGGGGATGGGAGGGGCAGGGAAGGGGTATCCTCCGTGTTTTCCTTAGTCCCTGCAGGTTGGGACCTCTTTCCACAGCTCTGGCCCCAGTAACTACTATGAACTGTTGGGGGTGCATCCTGGTGCCAGTACTGAAGAAGTTAAACGAGCTTTCTTCTCCAAGTCCAAAGAGGTACCAATGGTACTAAGGTGAGGGTGAGGGGGAGAGTCTGAGCCAGATGGGGTATGCTCCAAATTCTCAGGAATGGAGCTGAGAGGCTCACTCTGGCTGGTTACATTCCCTCAGCTTTTATAGGAAGAGGGAGGTACACCAAGGGCAGAGATCTGGCCAGGTGGGAGGAAAGGCTGGGGGCAGGAGCCAGGGGTCCTGTCTGATGGGCTGGTCTTGATTTTCTTGACCTGTCTGCTCTTGAGAAAGCTAGTACTAGAGCATATACTGAAGCCACGCAGCAGGTGGAGAGGGCTTGAATAAGGGGAGGGAGCAGGAATCTGTGTTTCCTGACTCTCTGGTCTTCTAGAGGGATGGGCAGGCCTGAGAGTAAGGGTCACTGCTCAGGCAGGGCCTCTGGGAATGACTTGAGCCCTTGTGGGTGGACATGATCAGAATGGGTCCCAGAAAAGGGCGTGGAAAAAGACATGATGGGAGTGCTGCCCCACCCCAGCTGCATCCTGACCGCGATCCTGGGAACCCAGCCCTGCACAGCCGCTTTGTGGAGCTGAGTGAAGCATACCAAGTGCTCAGCCATGAGCAGAGCCGCCGCAGCTATGACCACCAGCTCCGCTGGGCAACTTCCCCAAAGTCTCCAGGAACCACAGCTCATGCCAGGTCTGCTCATCAAACACACAGGTACAGTACTCCTGCTTCCAGTTTGCCACTCCCAGGCCTCCTGGGGAGCCTCTTCCCTACACTGTCCCTTCTTCTCTCTCTCAGCAGCTCCTGGACACCCCCCAATGCACAATACTGGGCCCAGTTTCATGGTGTGAGGCCTCAGGGACCAGAGTCAAGGCAGCAGCAGCACAAACACAACCAGCGGGTTCTGGGGTACTGCCTCATGATCATGCTGGCAGGCATGGTCCTGCACTACGTTGCCTTCAGGTGCATCCCTGCCTTCCCCCTGGGGTGACAGGCAGAGAGCAGAAGGGTGGGTGAAACCCAGTGTTAGCCATCCATCTACACCACCCCTGTGGCCTGCACTCTTGTGTCTCAAGCTAAGAATAGTATGAAGTAGGTCTCCTCCAGAGCCTCTTCTTACTTGGCAAAGGCAGCTCTGCACTAAGGGCTAATGTTATTTTCAGGTTTTGTTTTTTAATAATTTGATTGTAAATCTCTGGTGCTGGCTGCCAGGGAGTTGCCATGAGCCAACCAAAATCCTGCACAAGAAGGAAATGCACTGAACTAGGCCTCACCAGCAACTGTCCTCATTTGTTTGGCAGTCAATGTCTTCCTGCCGCTCTCTCCTGTATGCCATGCCACTGAGGTTCTACAGCAAAGACACCTAAAGGCTGGTGCCCACTGCTAGCAGTGTGCCTAGTTCAGTGATGGAGTTAGACATGCAACCCTTTCTAGTCTCTTTCGAGGACCACTCCTATGTTCAGCGCTACTATCATCAGGACAGCAGGGAGTTGGGTCATCACTGGACCCTGGACAAGCCCCAGCCACTGTGTGCCCCTCTCCTCACCTAGCACAGGCAGTTAGGCTGAAGTCCCCACAGATGTAAAGCTGTGAGACCCTAGAGTGGGGGAAGGGGGTGGTACTTAGGGGACAACAGGGGTTGGGGGACCCAGAGTTAATTGTAACCCCCTTGCAGGAAGCTGGAGCAGATGCACCGTAGCTTCATGGATGAAAAGGATCGAATCATCACAGCCATCTACAATGACGCTCGTGCCAGGGCCAGGTCTGTCCCAGCCCTATCCCACCCTCCCTTCACTGTCTGACGCCACCCTCCAGGATCCCTGTCCCGACCACCCAAGTGCTCTCCCCTGCAGGGCCAACAGAGCCAGGCTCCAGCAGGAGCAACAGCAGAGACAGCAGCTACAGCCACCACCCGGGCCTCCTCAAGGCCCCAGGATCGTGCCCTCCGGCCCTAGCCCCTGAGCCGCTCACCTGGATGGGGCCTGCGGTGTGCTCCCTGCTTGCTTTCCTCCTGGGATGCCCCACTCCCTAAAACGCATGGAATAAAGTGATTCTTAGCGCTTTTGTCTGGCTCCCTCCTTCAGGCCCAGCGCCCCACCCCGCCCGGCCCCGCCTTGGGACAACGCCCCGCCCTCCGGGTTCTGGCAGCGGCAACCCGGGAGCCCGGCCCCCTGGGC